ATACTATATTGTCCACAATTAACATGATTTGCAGGATAAATTTAAAAAAAAATTCTCTCCGTGTATAAATGTTAAAATAAGAAGAAAACGTTTTATGATGTTTGGTTATAAAAATATTTTATTTAAAAGTTATATATACACGTTTGAAGTGATACTGAATCGTATAAAGATAAGAAATTTAATGTAAAATTAATACACATGGAATAAACACGTATTACTTTTCCGTACACAAAGTGTACACTTTTGTATTTTGGACAATGAAAAATCTATTCTTGATTCCTTTATATTCCGTTTTAACGTTAATTTATAATGTTATTAAGTATTTGTAGCCAAACTTCATAAAACATTTTTTTCAGATTTCCACTTGTAGAATATGCTTCCACAATTTGGCCGTTTAATCCTGGAGATCCTTCACCAAACTATTATTTATAAATTATTTTTATATATTGTTACTTGTCATTTTTTGCCGATTTCTTGTAATAATTGCATTTAAATTAACAAAGACTGATGTTTTATTAAAATTAAATATTTTTCTTAATTACGTTTAAAAATGTATTTTGTTTATAGCAATAAATATTATATTTATTAATTAAATAATATTTATGATAATAATAATAATAATAATAAAAATGAGTGCAAAAATATTTTTATATACTATCTTTGATAGTGTTATAATAATAATTGTTTTTATTAATTACTATTATTATTAAAACAGTTGTGTAAATGTTTTAACTAAGAAAACTTTTGAGACAAGAAATATTTTATACAAACAATTTTAAGGGAGAAGCCTGGTTTAGCACGCTGAAAAATTAGGTGAAAAAAAAATTCCGAAAATCTAATTTTTTAACATGCTAAACCTGCAGGCTACCTCCTTAATTTGAATTAGACTGCGGAAATAAATATCACGAATTTTAAAAGCGCCTTCTACGATCGTGGCTAGATCTTGGTGGCTAATAATAATTCTATACGAATTTTTAAATCCATTATTTAGCCATTTAAACTGCGCCCTGAATCAATGTTGGATCATTATTATTACAATCATCAGCTGAAGCTGAAATAGTGAGATCACAATTGAACTTCAATTTCTAATAATTCAATGCGAATAAGCACTTTAGAAAATCACTTACGCGATCTAGTGCAAATTGTTTATATGTTTATTGTTTTAAATACGTGTCTATAGTATATATTTCAATATGCCGGTTATCGCGATGAATATCATCACATACCTTCGTCGAACTGGTAAATACGCCCGCCTTAGAAAGTCAAGAAGTCCTAGATTCAACTCCTGGCTGAGATTATGTTTTACGTAAGAAGTTCTTCCCAGTGTTTTAAGATGTTTATTTGCATCGAATTATTAAGAATTGACGATTGTGATCTCACTATTCCAGTTATAGCTATAATGATTGCATTGTAAGTCCGGCATTGATTCAGTGCGCAGTTTAAATGGCTAAATAATGAATTTAAATTCATAAAATAATTTTTCATTCATATCAATTTTTAATTCATAAAATTAGGCATCAAGAACCAGCCATGACCATAGAAGGTGCTCTCAAATTTATTTGTGTTACACTGTCTAGTTCAAATTATTTATATGTTTAGTTAATTAATAAATTGTTAACTTTGAGATGCCTAACTTTTTGTTTTTTTTTTATTTACAAAAAAAATGATTTTTAAATCGTATTTATATAATGTCTTTTAAAGCTTATAATAAGTTATTATAAAAATATTTTGCATGTATATTACGCATTAAAATTATTAATTTTCAGGTATGCGATTTGGCTACATGCAAACAAAAGTTGGAATCGTGAGTCTTCTGTCGAAATACCGTTTCAAACTCCATTCCCGGACTCAAGTTCCTATTACTTTCGACGAAAGAAATCCTCTTCTTTCACCGAAAGGCGGTATATACTTGATTATCGAGCCACGATAAAATAATCACGTTCTTATGTGAAATAAAAATACTTCTGTACGAATTTTTAAATTCATTGTTCAGTCGTTTAAACTGCGCCTTGAAAAGTACTTTTGATCTATTTTAAATATATTATGTGTTATTAAATATTATTACCATTTATGAAATAAGAATATTGTATTAGATATCACATAAATACAATAATTAAAAATGTTATTGTCGCGTTCGATGCCTATGCGTGTATTGCCCTTTTCTTTTTTTTCTACACTACATATTGTACTGCACCATATTGCGCTTATGCATTAATTTGTTCATCGCGAATTAACACTATTAAATCTTACTTGATGATTGAGAGCATTCAATTAAATTTTTCTTTTACATTTCTTTTCTTTTCTTTTTTTCCTTTTTTAGTAAGGACCAAATGATTAAGTGTATCTCTCATCTCAGAATCTCTTACAAATCCCCCATGCACTGTTCTGAGATCCCTAATAATAATAATTTAAAGAATAATAACCCGAATTGCCATTTAAATTGTCCCTCTGTACTAGCATGTCGTTGTCGTCTTTTTTCGCAAAATTTTCGTAAAATTTCAATCTTGTCTTGTCTCTTTGGTCTGCCATATCGTTATCGTTGTCATGAGCGTCGTTTTCATAAAATTTCAATGTTATTCCTTTGGTCTTTTCGCTAATATAATTATATTATAATATCTGTGTTTGCTCGTTCATTGGCCTTAATTTACTTCCGATAGTTTCTATTGTCTGATACTACTTCTACCAAAATAATCTCACTATAATACCATTAACGTACTGATTCTGATAATTGCTTGATCCCTTAGCCTTTATTTTCGCCACTATCCGTTCCGGATTGAAATATCATTTTTTTCTAAAAAAAAAGCCAATTAAACACTACTGGGAGTAATTATTTGTTTCGAGAGAAACGCTTCATGTTCTCTTACGTTCAGTTGAACATCTTCGAAAGTTTCTCACCAATCACTAAAAATGCAATATTAAAACTGCTTTTACTTTATCTAATAAGAAGTGCAAGGTACCTTAAATTTCATAAAATTTCGGAAAGGACTCGTTAGATTTAATGGTTCACGGTGATGTAGTTTATAAAAATTCCTGTCATGATGTCATGATTCCTGTGATGCTCCGTATGTTGGCACTGTAAGTGTCAATTTGAAACGAGAACCGAAGAACATTTGTCTAATATAAAAAAGGTAAATGGTTTGCCTTCTGTTATTTCTATTGACTGTATTAATGAAAATCGCAATTTCAATTGGGACGACGGTTTAGATTTTTGATAATGAAAAGAAGTACAAAAATAAATAAAAGATTAAGACTTTGGAGATAATTCGTATAATCAAACAAATAACTAACTTGAACAGGCAAAGCAACACGAATAGTTTTTTTCCACGCGTATCTCTCCAACCTCAATTCACAATCCTCTACTTACCGTCCATTTCCTACTTCCCCTTCCTTCTAACATGTTCTAACGGTTGGCATAGAATGTTAATTAACAAGGTCTGCCGATAGAAGAGAAACTGATTACGAAATCAGTTAATCAGTCCGTCTTCTTATTAAACGTCGTTATCAGAGTGCCGACATTCTATTAACATTTTGCTATTTGTTCGTAAAGATATATTTATTGCAGAGAGGTAGTTAAACGTAAATTTTACACTTCTACGATTGATACGAATTAAGGTGAGAAGATCAAGAACATAACATTAATTTTAGCAATTTTTGTAAGCTGATTATCATTAACATCAAGCTTTTTTCGTTTCACTGCTAAACCTCTCTTAACCTACTTAGGTTAGAGAATTTTAATCATTTTCCCTATCACGCTGGACCAATGCAGGTTGATAGGGGGATATATCAATTGTCTTTCAATTAATTTTGCGTGGACATGCACAAAGCAATTAAGATATTCTCAGTGATTTGTCATTACTTTTCCGAGAGATAGCAATCGAATAAAATCAGATTTTGACGTCGCGAGGAAGGAGGGTTTTATTAGATGCAAGTGAGCATCAAGTAGGATTTAAAATAGATGCTTTGAGCATCGATTTATTAGGATGCCTTTGACAATTTAATCGTGATATTACAGACTACTCGTTTCGGAGCTGCGGAGAAGCACGCGATTTGCGGCCACGTGATGTTATAAATAATATAAATCGAAAATTGTAAGATTCACACTAATATTATGCAACAAGATCCGTTTTGTACTATTGTTGGCGTTTTAAGATCTCAATTGTTAACATTCCACGGTCTTTCCTGATACTTAATTAAAATCAGATGTTTTTGTTTTGTTATTGACGCGATCGAATTTGAATCCAGATTCTCAGCATGGAGAGCAAACGCACAACTCCGGCTGGATCTATTAATGTGTTCTTTGCATTTTGTTTCTTGTTTTTTTACCACTTTTTACCATCCTTACCTTTTTGGCTCTTTATATCCTGATCCTTCATTTTCGCCCGAGTTGAGTGAAATGTTGGCAAACTTAAGAAGAGATAGGAAACATACGACAAGAAACACAATTGTCGATAAAACGGTCACAAAGCGAGAAAAAGGCAAGAGATAAAAAACAAAAAACAGAAAGCAAAGAGCACATTGTAGATCCAAGGATTGTAAACTGATATATCAAAGTAAAATCGTCGAGTATCTTTGTTTTATCCTTTGTGTTTGTAATGTACAAGTGACTTGGCACAATCAGTATGTTTCGCAATTAATCGTGTCATGTAAAAATCGAACGTATTATTATATATAACCATATATTGTGAATTATTTAAATTAATATTATTCAGTTTATGGTAATAATACCTATGAAGACGGATGCATATTACTCGTATATTTGACATGCTTTGATCAAGGCACACAAACATTTAACATAAAACAGCAGAAATAAGATAATTTTTTGTCATAATATGTTTTTATTGCTAATAAATAAAGTTTGAAGTCCACAAATCGTGCTGATATAAAAAATACGTCAAAAAAAGTAAAAAAAAAGTTTGAAGTTCACAAATCGTGCTGATATAAAAAATACGTCAGAAAAAGTAAAAAAAAAATTATTTCTTATGCAACTTCAAGGTAACCACTTCTTTCACAGTAGTGCATAAATATTTCATTTTTAAATCCATTATTGTACACAAAGTATGCCGGAACAATATCTTTTCGATATTAATTAAATCATTAAAATTGCGTAAACTGATTTGACACATTTTTCTAATTTAACGATTTTAATTAATTTAATAATCACAAGAAATTAATTTCTGCAGCGTAAAAACAGAAGCATAAAATTACTTGAAATCATACATTGTCCAGCACGTGGCCCGCAATAATATAATTTTGATTGATTTGCAATAATAGATAATAACTTCTTTTGATAACATTTCATTGCGTATATACAGCTTAAGTACATATTTATAATTATCATACTCTCTGTACAGAATTTACACCTACAAATCCGAAATTTTTAAATCTTAGTGTAAGATTGCGTTATTTAATTACTAATCAGTGAACAATTAATAATTTCTAATTACGCTCGTGATATCTTAAAAATCTTGGTATTTATATTGTCACACATTATTCGTATTTGAATGTTCCTACTACAATCAATGTACATGATAGTTTTTCATTGTTCACGTTTCTGTGGCGTACGTCGCGATCGGAAAGATTACTGAATTGACTAATTGATCTAATTGTAAATTTGTGTAGCTCTGGAGATTTTGTTAGATCAATAAGATTTTGTCAGCTTCATCATGGATTTGGCCATCGCCAGTCGTCGTCGTATTTCTGGCTCGCATTGACCTTGGTTGGTCACAATCAAGCCGAAATATCTTAAACTGTCGAGATTTTAACAGGCTGTAATGGTAACAGAAAATTTGAAAAAATTGTTTAAATCTGAAAAATGGGCAAAAGATATTTTCGTAGGAGAAATTAGTGAATAAACTTCTATAAGAAGTAACAATAATGTTGAGACAAACAGGAATAACCAACTTTCGCGTTGACAATTGACGTATAATGTTTTTATTTGATCATAGTACTTTCGTCAGTGCGAGAGTCGGAAGTTGGCCACACCACAGGGCCAAAACTGAAAAGGTATAGTAGCCGCCCGCAAAACTTTAAACAGTTTAAACCAAAATAACTCTTATAATTCGTAAAATAATTTTGTTACATCGTACATCGTTGTATTCGTTAAAAAGAACGTTACGACTTTTATCGTATTAAAATTGTCTTTACCATGCAAAAATTAATCATGTCTTTTCGCTCTTTAACATTGATAATATTTTTAAGTGATTACTGTGCTTATAATAAAGTTTAGTCAGAGCCGTTTAATTTGATATTATTGTACATTTATTAGGTCTATCTCTATTAGTTTATAAGATAAAAAAGGGCGGCCAATTATATGGGGACACCCTGTACACGAGCAATTTTTCTTATTTCTTCAAACTTAATTTTTTGTTAAAAAAAAAAAAGTAAAAATTATTCTTTAATTATTTTTTATGTTTTCTTCTTATTATTATCATTTTTTTGTATTAAAGGATAATTTTACAAACGAAAGAAACACATATGGATATATTTTGGACATATTTTGCATATAATTATATATTTTTATATATGTTTATATATATTTATATGTTCTTGTATAAAAAATTTTTTACCAAGAATTTTGTAGAAATAAATAATATATTCTTTTTAATAATATTATAATAATTTTATAATAATATTATCGACAAATGCCTATTTTGTGGAAGAATACAGATTTTTTAAATTACACTGATGTCCATAAGTGCCTTTGTTGATATATAAATATTTAAATGCATGTATTTTTCTGCCTGATTTTATATCATTCAAATATAATACATTGTCATCGTCGTCTTCTTCTCCACAAAATTTTAATCTTGTCCCTCTGGATTGCCATATCTTCGTCGTAGTCATTTTCTGCATAAAATTTTTGTAAAATTTCAATTTTGTCTTGTCTCTTTGATTTGCCATATCATTATCGTTGTCAGCGTCATCTTCACAAAATTTCAGTTTTGTCCTTTCTCTTTGCTTATATAATTATATCTTTGTTTACTCATTTATTGGACTTTATTTTCGATAGTTTCTATTGTCTGATACTACTTCTATCAAAAGAATCTCACATAATATCATTAATGTGCTGATTGATAACGGCTTGATTCACCTAGCTTTTAATTATTTTCCACTATCCGTTCCAGATTGAAATATTATTTTCTTAAAAGAAAGCTAATTAAATACTACTGGAAGTATTCATTTATTTCGAGAGAAACGCTGCATATTCTCATTCATTGAGATCAACTTCGTGAGTTTCTTGCCAATCACTAAGAATGCATTATTAAAATCTCAAGCAAGATAATGTCAAATGACGTTTCAATAACGTCTAATTGACGTTAGAGACGTTATTAAAAAGTCTTTTGACATTATTAAAATGTCACCTTGCTACTTGGGACTGCTTTTACTTTATTTAACGCTTTAAAAATTTCATAAAAATCAGAAAGGACTCGTTAGATTTAACGGCTCACAGTAATGCAGTTTATATAAATTCCTGTCATGACAATGATGCTCCGTATGTTAGTCAAACTAAGTGTCAATTAGAAACAAGAATCCGAGAACATTTATCTGATATAAAAAAGATAAATGGCTCTCTTGCAGTTATTTCTATTCACTGTAATGATAATTATAATTTCAATTTTGGCGACAATTCTGATTTTGATAATGAAAAGTACATTAAAAGATTAACTTCGAAGATGATTCGTATAATCAAACAAATAAATAGCTTGAACAGGCAATGCGACACGACCCTGTAAAAAAAATCGATAAAAAACAATAGGAATCGATAGGATCTGCCAAATCTTTTATCGTGTTCTATCGTATCTAACTTTTTCTATTCCACTTTTTCTAAAAGAAATGTTATTGTTTCTTATATTTTGTTATCCTTAGCTAATAGGAACGATATATTTTAATCGTTGAAATATCAACAGAAGCTTTTTTAGCTATAATAATTTATTGTTTATATCGACAGAAGCTTTTCTAGCAATAATAATTTATTGTTTTACATCGATTTGATAAAATTTATCATAAATAAACGATTCAAACATTATCATAATAAATTGTTCATTTATGATAATTTTTTTACGGTTCATAACTACGATTAAAAACGATTGTATCATATGTATATTCAGACGCGTATCTCGATACGTATCTCCCCATTCTCAATTCACTATTCCCTACCTATAATTCCTTTCCTGCTTCCCCTTCCTTCTAATATAATGTTCTATCAGTTGGCATTGAATATTAACAAAGTCGGTAGATAAAAGAGAAACCGATTGCGAGATCAGTTAAGGTCATCAGTAGTCTACTGATATCTTCTGATTAAATGTGTTCCCAGTTTGCCGACATTCTACTAACATTTTACTTATATCTGCTTGTCCATATTTATTGCAGAGATAAAACGTAATTTTTACTTCTACGATCAATACAAATTAAAGGTGAGAAGACCAAGAACATAACATTGATTTTTGCAATTTTTGTAAGCTGATCATTATTATTATCATTAAGCTCGTTTTCGTGCACTGCTGGACATGAGTCTTTCTTAACCTATCTAGATTAAGGAATTTTAGCCATTTTTTCACGTTTACCAGTGCGGGTTAGGGGATCAATTGTCTTTCAATTGATTTTGCTTGGGTAATATGCACAGGACAAGATACTTTCGGTGATTTGTCATTATCTTTCCGAGTGACAGCAATCTAAAATTAGATGTTTTTGTTTTGTCATTGATACGGTCGGATTTGAACTTTGAACCAGATCCTCAGAATGGCGGAGAGCAAACGCACAACTCTTTGTGCCACGATTGTGGGCTGATGTATCAAAGTAATTAAATCGTTGATTAGTTTGTGTTTTTTCTCTATATTTGTAATGTGCAAGTGGTTTGGTCATAATGATTATGCTTCGCAATTAATCATGTCATATATTATATACATAGATTATATAATATAAAAAATAAATTAATATAACAATAATACTTTGATTCGCGGAAAATTTTCTTGACGTGTCTGTAATAACATATACAATATCTTTAAATAGCAGATATGTTGTGATGTTCTATTACATCATATTTCCAGTTTTGTTTCTTTATTTAGATAGATTCTTGTTATCGAAAATCTATATTTACACGGGCATTCTATGCATATCTAAGAATAGATTACTTACGCACAAGATTTTCTCACGAAAGATTGAGTAGAAGTTGTTTATTGCAATAAACTCCATTATAACAATGGAAAACTTATTACAATAATTAATATTATCATTATTTTAGTACATATACATATAGAAATGACCATGAATCTTAATTCACAGTACAGTGTCATAAACAAATTAATATACAACAAAGTGTAATACATAAGTACGTAGATGCGTAAGTACATAAATAAATAAGTACATAAATAAAATGGACTCGTTAATCAATTAGTAATCTCTTTATTCAGCGAGCGTATGATCTTTCCGGTTGAACGTCCGATTAAATTCTGTCTTGTTTTCCGCGAGTCTCCTTTTAATTGAATTAATAATTTTCGTTGCTAAGTTGCAATAATACGACGATCATATATTTGAACATTGCGCATAATTACTACACCGTACAACCGGTGTTCTTAACAGAAAGATCCACACTGATTCTTTCTATTAAAAAAGAAAGATTGATTAATTTATGATAATTTATGCCCTTGTATTTTGTTAAAAAAATTACACTTGCAAATCGATTGATAAGCAATAAACATAATAAATTTGGCTCTTTACAATATTTACAAATTTTATATAAACAGCAAATTGCAAATTACGAGGCGCATGTAATCTAACATATAATTTAGCTTTAGTAACACAGAAGAAATTTTTTAAAAATTAATATTCTTAAAAAATCTTATTTAAAGTAAATTTTAAAAGAGGATTATTTATTGCAATTTCAGATTCGCAATGGTACTTGTGGAGTTAATCGGGGCTTTCATCATTGCCCTAAGCATTGTATATATTTATTTTAAATTTGTGATATTTAATTTCTGGCGCAAAAGGGGTGTTTTTTATATCGAACCCGTTGTACCAACTGGAAATATAACAGATCTTGTAACTGGAAAAGCACAAATAGGCAAGTACTTTTTTAAGTAATATTAAAACGCACTTGTAAATATATACTTACTTTCATGTGTGTAACTTTTAAAATTCTATTAATTTAAATATTTAATTAGAATTAAAAAAGGAAAATCTCAAATTAGTATTTGGAGATAATTGATAAAATGAATTAACAAACACAAAATTTGTTAGATAAATTAGGTCAATATGGTAAATTAGAATTGACATTCATGAAATTCTTATTAATTTACATATTTTTTTAAATTGTGATTATTGTAAATAAAAATTATTATAATTTATTCATTATTTATTTTTAAAACTAAATAATATAAGTTTATTCCTATTTTTATAAAATTAACGATTTATACTGTTGCTTATTGTGTTTCTACTTAAAATAAGAAATTTCAGAATTAATTAAACAAAAACTTTTTCAACAGGTGTATTTTTCAAAGATGTCTACATGAAATACAAGCATCATCGTGTTATTGGAATGTATTCACTTTATAAACCAGTCTTGTTGATCAATGATCCCGATCTTATTCGGACGGTGTTTACAAAGGAATTCGAAAGTTTCCATGATCGAGGAGTATATTGCAATGAAAAGATTGATCCTTTGTCCAACCATCTGTTTTTTATATCTGGAAAAAAATGGAAAAATATGCGCATCAAGATGACGCCCACTTTCACTTCAGCAAAGATAAAGCAGATGTTTTCGCTCATAAAAGAGTGCGGCGATGAACTCGCAAACTATCTGGAGAGCAAAGCACAAATGAAAGATTCCGTCGAGATGAAAGATATGGCTGCAAGGTAAATTATTTTTAAACAAACTGTTTGTTAAGTAAAGTTTCTTAGAACGTCAAAAAATGGAAACTGCTTTATTAGCAGTAGAAAGTTGTTAGTGGAAACATTGGAGAGATAAGGAAAGAATATGTAGTGTATCTTTGAACAAATGTCCTTTTTAAAAAGAGATATTTTTACCATTTTGACATTTACATACTGTTTCTTTAAAAAAGTGTCAAAATGTCATTACAGTCGAATCTCGTTAACTCGAACCACTACAACTCGAAAGTCTTTATAAAACGAAAATTTTGTTCCTCCCCTTCCGTTCTGCTGCGGAAAACCTCCATTAAATTAGAATAAAATCTACCTTAACTCGAATTATTTGTCAAGCATTTAGATATGTATTTTACCTCTGTAACTCGAATTTTAAAGTAGCCAGACCTCCGTCAGACCAGAGTCGAATTTCCATTGTCACTATCTTCATAATTCGAAGTTATAATTATGTAACCGTGAATAATATAGTTTGTTTTATTGTTACATTTATCATATGTATGCAATAAATAATTCACTGTTAAATATTGATTTTTTTTCTCTAAAAGCCATTATAATCGGAAAATTATAAACTCTCGTACAAAGTCTCCTTAAGTCGAATTTTCATGTTAATCCTCTTTTATTCGAATTTCGATAAGTCAAAACTCTATAACTCAAACAGTTTTTCTGGTCCCTTGAAATTCGGGTTATTGAGGTTCGATTGTATTCAAATATTCTAAAATGTATTAAAACAAGCAACATATTAATTTGATTGCACTACAAATGTTTTTCAAATTTGTCATATCGCAATTATTGATCATTATCAAATCATACGATTAAAAGATTAAAAAATTTTACGTTATCTTACTTTTACAATTATGAATATTCTCTATTGATGTAAATAATAGGATGGAATTTTCTCTATTGATGTAAACAAATAAGTCTTATACATAGTATTATTGGATCTCACAATATACATTTAAGAAGCTATCTTGTATATACAGGGTGAGACACTTAAAACAAGCCACCTGAATAATTTCTGAATGTTTCGAGATATTGGATTGAAATTAAAAGAGAGTTATATTGGCATTATGAAATCTATTATTGAATCTTTAAAATACCGACTTGAACCCTTCAGGGAGGAGACAAAGAAGGAGGGAGGTTGAAAATCTTAACCCTAGACTACCACACATGGGTAAAATTTACCCAGATTATTTTTGAAGTGCGTGCCATTCCGACAGGGTTGAAGAAGTGGGGTCGTGAATGTGGGAAGGGGGAACTTACAAGTGTCCTCTACAACCTTCCATCATAAGCCACATCATTCCACTTGGTACTGCCATTCTAGCCACGCGTAAAGTTCGACAATCGGTCTAGTTCACTCGGTCAAATAAATGTTTTTT